AACTTTAAAATAAAAAGGTTTTAGTTCCTCAACTCAAAACAAATCAATAGACTTGCCAGATGCCAAGTGTACAATGGTAAGTCACACCCTTTACCCTCAAGGAACCCACAGGTGACAGACACTACAGTACTGGAGTACCATGGCACTGCAGTATGGTAGATACAGATGTTCTCTGATGTTGTATTCACTCCCAGAAATCAGAGGTACTTACTTTTCTCTGTAGGAAATATTTCTGATATCGCACCATTCAAAGATTATTTGGAGAAAAGCAGTAATGCTGTAAAATGTGAACATTTTGGCCAAGTGAAGATGTGAATATTTTTATTTTGCTATGAAATAATAAATTATGGCAGATGTTAAAAACACAGTTTCTACTGAAAATATGGAAGCAGAGAAAAATAGTGGAAAGCTTTATGACTTTACTTTCAGGCAAACAATAGAGATAGATTTATGTATATATTGCTCCAATAAAGTATTGGGATGGGACAGCTGGAGATACTATTGGAGCAAATGCTGAGGTTTCTAGAACCATCCCTCAGAAATGGCATAACCATAACAAAATAGAGTCTGAGGCACAAAGCCTGCTGGACAGGGAGCTGTGCAAGTTACCTGGGATTACCCAGCCCTCGTTCGAGGGAGTGGCCGGTTGGGGCCACTGTACTGGCCTTTGCTCCTCTTACAGGGCCTGGAGCAGGGCGGCAACTCTCCTGGCCATTGCATTATCTTGATGAGTGGGTCCATCAATCAAGTCAGGGAGGGAGAGGCATAGGTAACAGGTTGGCGCATAGCCTGTAGGAGTTGTGGAGTGCCAGTTGCTTTAAGTGCCAAGCCTGCCCAGAAACTGAGACCGGAGAAACCTTACTGTGCGGGATGACAACAGGAAAGCCCTGGTTTGCAACAGGGTAATGCCGCCCCCTAGAGGACATTTTGGAAAATTAAAGATGTTTTTGTCACCAGTAAGAGGGCTGCCACTTAGCTGCAGACTCAGGCACAGGACAGTGCAAAGATTTTATCACATTTCAAATGGCTTCCAGTGTTATTCAACACTCATGTAGAGATAAAAATGTTATGATCATCAAGGCTGGAACCTATTTTACAAAGCATTTCTTACATATACACTTTTTTTTAGGACTGCAATTAAGTGGGGAAGTGTGCTTTGTTTTGTTGTGAAACAATAAAATCACATTTCAGCAGATCTGTCAAAGGAGTCTGAGTGGCTCATTTGATACCTCACCTGTCATCCCATGATAGAGTGGTCCAGTCACAGCAAGCTCCTCAAAGGAACATCTCATCCGTCGTCACCACTTCCAGGGAGGCCGTGCCATGCTTTGTTGCTGAGTACTTTTGGTTTTATTAGAGGCTGTTTTCCTTTGATTTATTCTATGTCTTTTATTTTAAATTGCATGTTAGTATTTTCTCTTTTCAGAATAGTAAGATTCAAACAAATGGGTTAGGACAGGGAAGATAGAGCTCAAGATGCTCGATGTCAAGAGGTTCCTGACACCCCAGGTGTTATCTTGATTCTGCTCCTCAGTGTCCCCCGGGGGTCTGTAGGAAAGCAGTCAGGTGGAGCCTGGGTGGGTATCCTGGACCAGAAGGCCAGAGAGGGGCTGGCTCCAGGTAGCAGACCACCACAGTGCCCATCACACATGTCTAAGTGGGAAGAGACGGGAATGCCTGTCCTGAGCAGTGGTGCACTCCAGGCAGGGCCAAACATGTGAGCCCATCACAGGGCCGTGGATGTGGGTACAAGATTCAGCTGAAGGACAACTGTGGGATAAAGAGTCAGCTGCCTTTGAGATAGGCTTTGTAGAGCCAGGATGTGACCTGGGCGCCAGGCTCGAGAGGGAAGGAGAGAAACTGCAGAAAGGAGGAAACATTTAAAGGGTTTTAACTATTGCCCTCCCTTTCTCTTCCTTGTGCCTTATGTCTCCTTTAGATTAATGGTTTCTTCATCTTTAAAATGATGGTGTAGCCAACATGATTTCAAAATACCAGGCTCCAAAGTTTTGAGATCTGGAAATACTGTAACTTGCTCCAAATGACAAAACTAACTGATAGCTAGAATTCTGAAGTTTAGCCTCAGAAACCTCTCAGCTATCAGGGTGTTCATAAATTATCTAGATCAGTGCTTCTGGAAGTGGAAGCTGCCATCCATTAGTGGGCTATACAATCAATGCAGTAAAAAGGTCAGTTTTTAAATAGAAGAGGGTATAAATTTAAAATATCAATGTGACATATGTAGCGAGGGTGATTATTACTTCATGACTATTGTGTCAGTCATTGGTTCTCACATACTCAATGATTAAGAATCCACTGCTAATGAAGACAAACGGGGAAGATTCTGTTTTCTTAGTTCTCATCTACTGAAAGGTAACAAGTGACCAACTAATCTTACTCTTCCTCACCACTTCACTATAATAAACATTACTGAGTGTAAGACCCTGTTCTAAGCACTTTGGATTAACCTGTTAATCCTTACCACAATCAAATGGACGCTGTTACACAAGTGAGCAAAATGGAGCAGAGAGAAGTTAAGTCACTTGGCTCAAGTTACAGGGCCCTGCTATGCTTCAGTTCTCACAACTGCCCTGCAAGACCAAGTGGTGGGCCACCTTTTCACACAGCCCCTGGCACGCTACCCCTGCAGGACCTGTCTCCTGACAGCAGCCTGGAAGAGTCAGGCTGGGAGACAGGCACCTGCAGGACTCCCTTTCTCCACCTGGCCATGGCCCCTGAAGCACAGCCCTCTGCATGAATAGCCAAGCCGCTCTCATTTACCTTGAAATTGTTCTTCTTCCAAGAGGCCTTCTCTGATCACCCCAACTATATGTTATCACATCTGCCATTCTCTATCCTAGTAATTCACTTTATGCCATCGTCTATCATTGGAATCAACATACTTGACGTGTTTACGGACTGCTGCATTGTGAGGCAGTGGAAGAAGACAAGCATTTCTTCTGAACTGCTGTACTTCCAATACCTGGAACAATGATAGCTCTTAAGAGGAACTCCAGAAATATATGTTAGGAATGAACAAGAGTCTAGAGGAAAGAAACTGAGTAATATCAAAAGCAAAACTAAATCACCTCTCTGCCTTTGGACACAGCACACTTTACTTATCTAATCTTGAAATACTCAAACCACTCTAATTCACCCACAATCAAGAACCAGCAGGGTGTAAGGAGTCCAGGGTTTTCAGAAGTGGGCAGATTTTCTTTAATAGAGGAAGAAACAGGTTCACAAGGATCTTAGTAGCCTTCATAGGACCCCACCAGTCTATGCATTCATTCTGCTGCTTCTGAATTCCCTGCTGTGAGCAAGGCACCAGAAAAATGAACCAGTTTTAAAGAACCACCTCTAACTGGACTTGAGAACTTGGTACGTGTCAGATCTCAGACTGTAGTGGAGGAGAAAGATGTGAGTTATTCTCCAAAGGTTTCTGTACTGCCTAGCAGGTGAAACACCACACACACAAACACACACAAAGAGTATAAGGAAAGAAAGTGGCAAGTACAGTGTTGATACAGAAACAAGGGGGAGGTAAAGGAGGGAGAAGAGTCCTCTGAGGTGTTCCAGTCCTCAGTTCTGTTTCTGCCCACTGAATGCTCAATACACACACTGAGTGCTCACATACTGACCTCTCCAGCCCTGCCCTTGTTGGACACAGCCCCTGCCCATCAGAAAAGGGAGGAATTTATCTTACGAATAACTCCAGGATGCAGTGGCTTGGTAAAGGAAGTCTAGATCTGTAAATGGAGAAGGCCAAGCCGGCTCGGAATCTGCTTCTGGTAACTCTCAAGCCAAGTGCACACAAGAGCTTATGTAACTGAGAAGGGCGTCTTTCTATGTCTATTCAGTACCAAGTAGGCTACCCTACTCTGGTCTGAATTCTTACTTCCTTGAAGCAAGCTGAGGGTGAGGTCTGCTCAAGTACATGTAGTCTAGTCCATTAAAGGTTTGGTACACACAGGAGACCTGTGTGCTTGCTGAGGCCAGTTTGCTAGGAAACACTGCCCACCCCTCAGCCTGATGATAGGTGATACTGCATGAGCAGCTGGCAAAAACCCTCAATTGCTTAGAACAGTCATCAGACTGGAGGAAAAGAGAAACACAAAAATAAATTCAGATGTTTTATTCTGTAAAGCACATATGCACATATTTCAAACACGGAAAATTAATCTGGGAGTGAATGCCGTAACAGATCAGCTACTGACCATCATGCAGCAAGATAAGTGAAATGGATCCACTGGCCCTCATTAGCCCACAGTGCCTGCAGGAGGGTTGAAAAACCAGGATGCTGAATCCCTACACACTGCCAAAGAAAATGCAACAGAAGTGGCAGATTCCTAGTGATGAGAAAAACTTACAAATAGAATCAAAACTGATTCAAGTCATACAGTGAAAGGACAAAAGGAAAAAGGAAAGAGATCAATATGATCTGAAACAACCATTTAATAATAAGTTGCTGACCTTTTACTGGACCTCCAGTCCAAGATGCCTGAGGACGGACAAGTCAGTGCTTCTGTGCGGGGTCACCCGTGAATGGCAAACAGGCCCTCTCTGTGACACTCTTCTGAGGTTCCCCCAGCCAGATACAGTGGGGTCTCAGGCCTGACCACAGGTGCCCAGATAATAACATAACAACTCCTCTGGAATTCCTGAAGTCTTTTCAGTTACTAGACCTCTTAACCCAGGGCCTGTGACTTCTCTGCTTCTCCAGCCTTCCTTAAACACCAGCTGACTAGGTTTCTGTGAGATCTGTGAGGATTACCTGCTACGGTAAAGGGTGAATTTTAATGTGTATGTCCTGGCCTCATGACAAGTCAGTATTGTCCAGGCATTTTTGGCATTCCTTTCCTCATGCCTACCAGTGTGCTTCCTCCCCTGGCTACAGAGTCCAGCCATTCCCTGTAATTCAAACAAGGGCAATGAGTATTATAAACACGTTAGATTACACAAACCAGTGAATTTGACTTTTTCCATCTGTCTTTCTCCTTCTATATTATTCTGCCAGTTATAAATCTAGCCCTATAACTATACTTATTGGGATTTTATTATATCAGTAGCAGCTTTACCTAAAATCTGTTGGTCTTCATGATGTTGTTGTTTCTAAAGGCCAAGTCAATGGCTTTCTCAATCATGTAAGAGTCTTATAAAACTCAATTAACAGATTAGCCATGCATCAAAAAACTGGGTAGAAACAAGCATAATTATTGCGCTTGACATGTATGAAAAGGAAAAAAGGAATAGTAACATATCAAGTTACTGTATGATTATTTCAACAACCTTCAGTAAAAGTCCACAAATATTTTTCACTGAAGAATGCCTGGGATAAAATGTTCTAAGCTAATATATTTCAGACAGCAGGACTGATTCTAATTTTGTAGCCTACAGCTATGGGAAAGAAGTACTGACAGGAATGTCCAAGGTTTTACTTGTCCTTCTGCTATTAACAATGCTGGGGAGAACACAGAAGTCACTAATGACAATGACTTACTAAGGCAAAAATCTATTAAGAAAACAATGCCTAGAAAAGATCATGTGTAATTTTTTTTAAAAAGATCAGGGAAAAAAGGGGCTAAGTAAACTAGATGACCAAAATGGTATAAGAAAGAAAAATGTTATTGGTTTTCCTGATAAATGGCAAATCAAATTGCTTGCCTTCAAATTTCACAGGCTCAGCTTTCCTAATGCTGCTGATCTACTAGCTGCCATTTTTCTTCTGAAGATGTTAACTGCATAAAAAGAAGTGCATACACAGAAGATTCCCTCCCTCTTCAAAGAAACAAGTAACCCTTTCATAACACACCAAATCATCTTTCACTTTCCATCTGCATTCCGGAACACAAATCAGCCAATTTTTACACTAGAGCCATTTCAAGTGTAAGCCCTTTTGAGTGAGGAAGCGGCTTTAACTTTTAGAATGGACAACAGAGGAGAAAAGACAGTGGGATATTCTGTGCCAACTCAATCAAGACCAGGTTCCTCACCACCCATGTGGAAAATGAAACTTAGATCTTTACCATGTAGGTGACTTTTAAATACTTAACTTTTTACTCAGTTTGATAAAAGCACAAGTCTGTCCTAACTAGAGTAGTATTAAAATGTGACTATTTTTTCTTCAAAAGGAAAAAAAAAAAAACCAACTTAGATAGGTATGTTTCCTTGCAAGCAAAACAGGAAAAAGTAGTACTGTTGTTTACTATGATTATTGAGCCACAGACGCATAAAATCCACAAAATGGACCGGTGGCTTTGGAAAATGCAGTATCATATCAAAGGTGCAGACTGTTTTGAACATTCTGTACATATTGGGCTGAAACAAAAACCAAAGCAAACCTCAACCCCACCAGCAATGAAATGCTCCTGGAAAGGCAACGTGGCCTGCTCCAACGGAGCACAGTCACCTCTCTGGCACGATGCACAATCATCCTCCCAAGTGCACGGGTGAGGCTGAAGGGTTCTGGCTGCACCTAGTGCAAAGCACGTGCATCATTGAACCAATTTCTGAATAGATTTTTATAAATATATACAAATCAGTTACAGGCACTTGAAATGTCTTTGGCTGGAATAACCCAACATTGCAAGATAATGTATTCACAGAGTGTCCAGGCCCAGGCTGGGTTCAGCAGGCAATGATTATGGTTCTCTCAACCCTTCTCAGAAAATGGGCAGTTGTGCGATTAGGCATCAGCCAAAGCCACCTAGAAGAGAGCGAGATAAGCAACACAGTCACACAGCAGTGCACAGGGGCCACAGCCCCATCAGCACCCCTCCCTTTCCTGGGCTCCTTACCCAAAGGCCAGGGAGCCACATCACATGCATCTATCAGTCAAGAAGCCACTAAATCCTTCATAAAAAAACTCTCATCTAGGAGTGAATAAACAGAAATCTAAGTCTCTTGCTGATCTAGGAGGAACCGTGCTGAGATACAGTTAATTGTTCTCAAACACTCATCAGCATGACTGTGAGGTGCTGTCTCAAGCTGACAGACGGGAAGGGGAAGCAACTAACATCAGGGTCAGATGCTCTCCAATAGAGAAATGAGAACAAATTGTGGTCCAACACCTTTTTACCAGTGAAAGCTTGAGTATGTGGGTGAAAATCCAGTATGGTAATTTAGGCTGGGGGTAGGCAACTTCTGACAAAAAGATAATTTTTGTGGAGGAAAGGTAACACTCAGTAAATGAAGTAAGGACTAAGTGGGACTTTCTAGAGAGAGAGGCCTCTAGCAAGAAACTGGGCTACATCCACACTCACCTTCTCAGGACAAAATTCCGGATTGCTCTGACGCAATTTGCTGGGTCTGCCTTTGATAACAGCATAGCAAAACATTGTTATCACCATCACGAAGAGGAAGTAACTGGTGTGCATGAGATGCAAATTTATTAATGAACGGTCATCCTAAATAAAGAGAACAAACCAGAAACAACTGTACTGAGTAACTGAATTATTTTAATGCTGCATTTCTGGAAATGAGTTTACAACCTCCAACCTTTATTCAACTTTAATTCTTAAAATGGAACAGGACATTTCCCCTTTTGTCTTCTAAACTATTACATCTGGATCTTCTTAAGTGAAGACATGGCCTTCCTAAAGCAGTCCTCTGCCCTGACTTTAGTGCCACATGCCCGAACCGCTCCTCCCCAGGTCTCTTCCTGAGAAGGTCCCAGAGACCCCATCTTGAGCCCCACCCCTTCCCCCACTGCCCTCAAGCTGCATTGCTGGCAACCTCACTCTGTTCCTTGCTACATAATGCCTTGCAGCATCCCCTTTTCCCAGCGGCAGCTTCTCTCCTTCCTTGTGCTTTGTCCCACTTTTACAAGTGTCTGACTGAAAACACGGAGGTTGCCCTTGACTTCTTCCTTTCTGCACCTCACAGGAATCACTGAACATGCCCTGCCAGTTTAGAGTGATCCCAGTCATGCCACCATTCCTTTGCCTTCTCCCATCTCCAGGCCTCACAACATCAGCCTGAGGTTCCCTTCCATTTATACACATGGGGATGGGGGGGGGGTCTTCCCTTTTTTTTTCTTAATTTATTTTATGCAAATAAGAACTGGGGTACAGGCCAGAGGTGCAGGGGGTGAGAGGACTCATCAGAGACAAAGTGGGGGACAGAACAAGCAGATCTACTAAAATACACTGCTGAGGGGCACAGTGGGTGAGACGGGAGAGGTCTGCTGGGCCATGTGGGTCACCTCTCTGGCCAGGCACCAAACTCATGCTGCAGTGGCTGTGGAGAGCTTCACAGTGGTACGACTTAAACCCGAGCACCATCAGGGAGGGCCTTATAATGCATGATTGTTGTACAGTTGACTCATGCTGCAGTGGCTGCAGGTAGCTTCACAGCTCTTCACTTTAACCTGTAGCGCCACCAGGGAGGGCCCACATCAGGTCTTCATAATAAACTGCTGTACAAATCCCTACAGCCCTAACTAGGCAATGATTGCTTACCCTGAAGAGAAAGTCTAAATGCCTTGGTGAGGAACAAAGATCAGCTTCCAACCTGATCTCTACTGCTTCCTCCTGCAGGCACAAGGCCTACCAGCTTCCCCAATTTGACAGGAAGAAATAGTTGGCTAGTGTCAATATGAGTAATCAATAGTGCTGCTTCGAGTTCAGAAAGGTAGCAGTATGTAGGAGGAGATGAATTTTTGGTCAGGTATTGAGGACTAGTAAGAGAGGCTATTGAAAGGAGGGGAAGGTCAATTTAGAATAGCTTGAGTTTCCTGCTAGACTTGAGTTGAGCCTACCTTTAACAGTTTGCACTATTGGATTTTTTGGGTTTTGGGTTTTTGTTTTTGTTTGGTAAATAACATTTTCTTCCTCAACAAATAGCTGCTGCATACAAAGAATGGGAGCAGAGCTGAACTACGTGAAAAAAAAGAGGCGTGTTTTTCCATCAGGATGTGTCTCCACCACTGCTGCTTCATCTCCCAGCCCCGACAGAATGGCAGTGGCTCAGCTAACCTAAGGAGGAAAACATACACACAGGATTTTTCTCACTTACATCTGGAACAATGACTGTGAGTTTGGGATTTAAAGCATGATAGACTTTTCCAATGGCTCCCTTGTAACACCAGAAAGGGTTGTAATCTTGAGCATATTTTGTGTTGGCATCTCTGGCGGTTGTGAAGATCTTGTACCAGAGCGTGGCATTGCTGTAGGTGTCAGGCACACAGTGGGGTGGCTGTCTACACGGGAAGAGAGGGGAAGACAGGTGCTCAGCAGCCTGCTCATTCACTCATGTCGCTCAAGTCCCTAGCACAACACTGAGCACGGTCACAAGTATGAAAAAGGAGAAACAGGGCACATGCATGACTCTTTGGGCCAAAAACCACCGTTTTAGTTCAGGGATCTTTCTTCTTTAATAATAAACATGTAACAGTAAAAACGAGGGGCCTACCATTTCCACTGACATTTATTTTAGATGTTAGATTCTTGCCTTCAAAATTCAATCCATGGTCCTCACATGATGTGGCCAGAGGACCTGCTTCTTTCAAGTCTTTCTCAATTATCTTACTTTTAGTTACAACTGGAAGTTTAACATACAAACGTCTCATATAGCGTAACAGTAAATTCTTTTTAGCTTGTTTGATCTTGTCCTACAAACCTCCAAATGTCTAAAATAGATAAATCCCAAGATAATTTGTCTTAATTTTTAAAAGATTTCCCATAGAATTCCTTTAAATAGGCTACATCTTGTATTTCACATTATTTATAGATCATTGTCCCTTTATGAAAAACTTAAAAGACAAAGTGAGAACATTGATGGACACTTAAAAAAAAAAAGCAGCAAAAGTTCTATTTCATGGAAAATAAGGTTCAATTTATGATCTCAATTTTAAAAATAACTCTGGATAGCAAAGATGGACACCCTATCTCTCAGGAACCTTAATTATGGGTCATTCTGGTCACATGATCAGCTGTTATTGATCTTTTCCGTGACATGCTTCTTCCACTGAAAGAACTGCATACTGAGAACATGCAACAGCCAATGCTTACCACTGTGCTGAACTAACTCTTTTGACATTTAAATGCAGAATTTCTATCTACAGAATTCCAAGTCAAAGAACCCTTTAAACAGGTGCAGGTAATGACTACAGGATACAATGCAAGTATTCATGAGAACTCGCTGCTGAAGCAGCCCAGTCATGCTCATGGGAAATGGAGCCTCTCCCACACCCACTGGGCACAGGAAACCACTTACACGGTGACGGGGAACACACCAGGGTTGGCTGTGAGAGTCATGCAGGCTGTGAACACCACCTGCTCACAGTGACCATGAAGGGCACAGTCATCTGAGCTCCAAGATGTAGGCAAGGTAAAGGTAATGTTTATCTCCTCGTGGGCTTCCCTGCCTATGAAAGAGAAATCATTTTTTTCCTTTGTAAAGAAAGGCAAGAATTTGTATTTATTATCCTCTAGGATTTGAATGAATACTGAAAACAACCCACCCAGGAGTCATCCATCAGCCCACAGAAGCACAATCCTTGCCTTTGTAGGACTGGAGGGGAGACAGATCTGAGACCCGTCACAAGGCCTGCTCACCAGGTGGAACCGCAAATTGGAAAATAGCGAGGAACCACTTTCTGCCAAGCAAAGGCCCAAGCAACGCCCAAGTTGGAGACTGGGGCTAAGTGGATTATGACCACCACTATTCTAGAATTTGTGCGGCACTCATTATTTTCAAACCGCTTTGTATGTATTATTTCATTGAAAATTTACCATGATCCACAGCAAGACCAAAGAATGTATATTAACTGTTTCCCTGTTCCATACAAACAGACTTAGGATCAGTGGGTCTAACAGACAGAGAAAAGTCACAGAACTAGTAAGTGACAGTTTAATGAAAACCAAGGTGTTCTAATACCATAGCACAAAGAAAAGGTCTACTCACTACATAAAAAACACAGAAGTCACCTCACTTTACTATGTGGAAACAACTCTCACTGGTAACAGCCTACTAGAGGTGGACAGTCATTCCTCTGTCCCTTTAAGGGCTTTAAAAGGCCCTTAGTAACCAAAATTCCAGTTTATAGGTCCAAGTCTACAGGATAATGAAGCCTTTCCTGATTATTCCAACACACTACTTTTGACATTCTCCTGAGTCACTTACAGTCATCACGGGTTTAGTACAAGCTAAAGGACAATGGTTCAATGTTTTATTTTTAATAGTTTAATATTAGATGTTTATTTTTAATATTATCTAACAAGCACTTATATATAGCATTTCTTTTGTGCCAGAAACTATGTAAAATGCTTGTAAATATTAGTTCATGTTATCCTTGACTCTATCTGTTGAAATATCTGTTGAAAACACTAACAGAATAAATCTGAATAAGTCTGTTGTGTTTGTAAATATTAAAACCAGAAGTAGACTCCAGTTTTCCACCCTTACAGGTTTTTACTGAGAGCCTACTATCATGTCAAAATGGTTACTTCTTTACTTCAGTTACTTCAACTCAACAAAAAGGGAAGATATATGCAAAGAGTCAATAAGTAAACTGTATGTTGCTAACACTGTTTTGAAATACCTGTTAGCTGAGAAAGTCTGAAAGGAAACAGTCACATACCTGAAAGTCCAATCTGATGCCCTAAAATGGTTGAGTACAGATGCGTGACATTGCGAGAGTATCCTCCAAAAGGTTTAAGTGGGTCCAGAGTTAGGGTGATTGCAACTGAGATGTTAACTGGGCCTGAATCCTCCAGGGCCTGTGGGGACTGGGTGGACACTCTAGACTGCCCGCTGGTCATTGTGCTCTCCGGAGCTGTGGTGTCATTTGTGAGATGCTTTAATGTTTCATTCTCTGATACACAAAAGTCCAAATCATTAAAACGCAGGAGAAACGTATTCCAATCCTTCAGTAAAATGAGAGAGAGAGACAAGTATGAGCAGTCCAGAAGCGCAGCCACTGCGGGAAGACAGCCATCACACTGTGGCGCCACAATGTACGGGGAAACAATAGTTCTATCATGTAAAATAAAAATGAGATCACTGCTTGCGCTGGCATAACATGAAATTTTCCAAATCAGTATATTAAACTTTAAGAAAATGAACAACCTTCAAAATCAAACTTGAAAATAAAGCTTGTATAAAAACAACAAAACATTAGAATTAATCCATATTCAAATATTTAGCATCTACAATCAGTTATTTTTTTTTACATAAGGCTGTCTTAAAGTGATTCTTCAACAGATCAACTATATACCCTTGCTTTCTAACCCTCCAGCATGGGAAACCACAGTAAATATCAATACTCATGAGGCACTTTTTTTCTTCATCAGACTTTTGAAGATGAATAATTTCAGAAGGGAGGCAAAAAAAAAATGTTTTTGGACTTCTCCTAGTATCTACATCCTGTATTGATGGCTCAAATCATAAGCCTGGTTAAACTGACTTAAAGTACCCATCTTAGGCCAATTTTAATTTTGCAGAAACCCAAAGCTGAACTCATGCTGAAATAGCCACTGACCTCACCTGAACTGTTACATACATGTTGCTTTCTCCCTAGCAACATTCATCTACAAAAAAAAATCATTAAATGGGAAGACAACCCAAGTTATAACTCAGACACTTTAAAACAATGTTAATTTAAAATGCCACTTGAGCAATTCTCAAGCAATAAGGAAAGTACACCTGTACAGCATCAGTGTAACTGTATATTAGCATTTAGTTAAGACTGCAAGTAGATGAGTCAAATTAATTTTTCCCTAACAGCTACAAACTCAGCAGATCACTCAAGAACATTAGAGCTTAAAAGGAAATCCTAATTTCATTCCTACCAGTCCTGACATGAGGAAACTGAAGCTGAAAAGAAATTAGGAGCAATCTAATTTCACAGCTGTAGGAACAACTGGGATTGTTTTCTGATTCCAGCGAAAAACTTTTGCTATGTAGCAATGCCTTTATACAACCTAGGATCCTCCCTTGAAAATGCAATTACTAAACTAATAACCAAAGGTCTGCGGCATCTTGGCACTGCTTCCCCGAAAAGCTTTAGTCCACTTTGAGTAGTCAGTCAAATAGTAGGTCCATTTTGACTATCAAGAGCTAATTATCCAGGCCACTGACTCTGGCCAAGTGTTGAAGAAGGAATGGAGCTCTGAGGAAAAGCAATGCCAAATGCTGCATAGCTTTGGTAGTGACTAGAATGCTCATTTTTAGCCCTAATGTGACCTGCAGCCCATTTTCATAACCCTGAAAAATTCAGGCAGGGTCAAAAAAGACAACTATAAACTTGCAAGTATGTTTCTCAGTACAATACTCTTTGAAAGAGTTTCATGATAGGAATGCTAACCTGTTACTTTAACTGTGTTAGAGACACTGCATGTGTGAAGGCCAAACCTCCTGAGATCACCTATGATCTACAGAAGCCACAGAGCACGAAACCTACCCTTGACCCCACCATACTGAGTAGAACCCTCCTCCCCAGCAATTCTCAAGCACTAAGGAGAGTACACCTAATATAAGGTGCCAACAACACAATCCCAACCCCATCCCCACCAATAAACACAGCCAAGAAAGTATGAGGGAAGACACTCAAGGAGTCTTACAAAGACAGCAACTACTGTGTCCTAAAGAAGTTTTATCCATTAGTAAATTCACCAGATCATTAATTCAACATAATTTCTAACATAAAATACAATAACAAAAATGAAAATGACAGATTTATTGGTAGGTATATTACTATTTATCAAAGGAGAATTACCAAATTTTGATTGCTTTCTGATATATGAAAACACATACCCTTTAAGATCTGCATCATGAGTGTTCAAGTTCTTATATGGCTAAATAAAAGATTAAAGAGCAATGCCATTCATTCTTTACATGTTGATATGTAAAATCTGAAAGCAAGTTTATAGACATCTTAAGCTTTCTTTGATTAAAAATGAAGACAAATATATTTGAAATAAGATTCTGTTTTCTAAATTTTTTAGGTTTCTTTCTTATCCAATGAAAAATTATGACTATAGCTGATAAAACTCCATGATGACATTTATTTTTTAAAAAACATTTAGTTTTAAAAGACTGCAATGAACTAACACCATAAGTACCCAAGTCAGTTTCTTACCAAAAAAGTCTGTTCTGTAGGTTGACACAAACATTTTACAAAAATACATTTCATTACCAAAATAGTCTAACTGAAACTGGTAGCATTATTTTAATCAATAACTATCTGATTAAATATTTTCTAGAATCAAGACAAATGACAGAAGGAAGACAAAAATTCCTAAATATCGATCTTTCCCCTGAGTTAAAAAAAAAAAAAAACAGTCCAACAATCATGTGGAGAGCCCAATCTGTAAAGCCTGCTTGGAACTTCACTGTACCTCTGTCATTTCCGGTGACTTAATCTCCTTGATTTTGAAGAAGTAGCCCAGGGTGAGGAAAGCTATTGCCATGGCGCTTACACTGATCATAAAGACCACCAGGGGAGGCCGACTGCTGATATACAGCTTCAGATTCTCCAGGGGGTTGATGTTGAACATTATTCTGATCAGCTTCACCTGAAAGCAATAAATCAGAGACTCATGGACTGAGTTGTCAAAAGAAAACCTAAGAGAGTCCCACTTGGGTCTCCTTGTGTGGTACTGGTATGAGGAAGTTACTCATTAAACTTGAGAAATGGCTGACCATAAATCCACTCAAAAGCTTACAAGGGAAAAACAATGTTATTTCAAAGCTGTAGGATCTTGAAAGACACATTCTCTCGTTTGAACCTTTTAATTACTCTAAATGAGCACTTGCTATTTCCATTTTACTTAAGAAAAGTTTAACTAGGTCAATAATGACACAAATATATGCCAATGTGTACAGAAATAGAAGATGCTCTCATTTCCTATGATTGAAAATCTGAATTTTACTTATTCAATATTGTCTCTTCACTGATATATCGCTCATGCCCATCCCAGCAGCTGGAAAAGTAGGTACTCAGTAAATACCAAATTTTATCTCTCCTGCTTAAAGCCGCCCTTTGGCTTCCCACTGGCCCTGGGATGAGGTCAGTACCCTGTCCCTTGGGTTTCATGATCCAGAAACCGTGCCAAGCTCAATGAGTGCACCTTTACCAACTCTTCCTCTCCTCCCTTACTGGACTCTAAACACACTAGCCTTGCTACTTTTTAGGATCAGCTTGTCAACTTCTTCAAGGATCTGTAGATCAGTTTGGGTCAAAATGTGATCTTACTATTGTCTTCCCTGCATATCATGAACCTGAGATGCTTTTCCATTTATCTAGGTCTTTTATTTTAATAGTGTTTTATTGCTCTCAAAGTTTGCATTTTTTTTCTCAATTTATTAAGTACTTAATTCTTCTTGGAATTTTTTAAGGAAATCCAACCTAAAGGTTTTAACCTCTTCCATGAATGCTTTTCCCAAAATATCTACACACTTGTTTTTCTCATCCAGGTGTCTACTCACTAGTTGGCTACTCAGAGAGGCCTTCCCTGACCACCTTAGTGCCCCTCTCAGTACTCTGCTTTGATGCCTTCAACTGTTCAGTGACAGTCAGTGCACAATTGACTTTCCACTTCTTTTATTATATATTGCACCTTTTTTGTGAGCTTCATGAATCTCCACATCTGCTTATAAGTGAGAAAAGAAAATTGCAGGCCATTACCATACTCTCCTTAACTGTGTATACTCCTCGACCAGTAAGACTAAGGCATCCTAGTATCATAAAATTGAAATTTGTGCAGCTATATTCTAGAACAATGTTATACATAAGTGTTTCTTTTTCTTGGAAACGTGAGAGAGAACTTACAAGAACCATCTGGAACTGTCAAGTTTTTAATTGGTTTTGTATTTTGGTAGGTTCCCACAACAACTTACTCGTGTTTCTTAATGACTATATATCTGCATTTTCTATTTTTACTGGACCTATTTTGGTAATATGCTAGGAAACTGCTCATTTTATACTGATTTTTAAGATCTCTCACAAAGTACTACTTTGTGATATGTTCAATTTTAATTTACTTGTTTGTAGTTATATTTCATTACAAGTGATTTTGTGTTTGCCTTCTCTCAATTGTATTCGTGTTTTCAAAGAACTGGTATATGGTTTTGTAGATTATACCTAAATAATTTCGTACACTTCATTTTAGTAATTTCTACATGTACTCTTTTATTTGTTTTTGTTTTTCTTGGGTTTTCTCAGTTCAGATTTTCTGACCTCTTCAACTGGATTCTTACCTCATATTTTCCAATTCTTTTTTTCTAAATAAGCACTTAAGACTATAAATTTCATTCAAAATAGTCCTTAACTGTGTTACTTTCCCTCACCACTACCACTAATCTTAATTCATTAGCAAATCTGTAGATTTTCTTCCCAAAATACATCTCAGATCTACCCACTCTGCCCCATCTTCTTCTTATGACAGGGATTGATCACTGTATCAATCCTATACAATCCTGAACTGTCTTTACAGTTCTAAGACGTCCATAGCCAGTGCCCACTGAATATGCTGTCCAAAACTCAACCTGCCTAACATCCCTGTCCAATCTACTCATCCTCCTGTACTCCCATCTTAATCTAGAGCCCTATAATACAAGCTAGACAACTTCTTGTCAAAGCTAAGCAAGTGCAAAAGAAACCATTTTTAACAACTCTTACTTCTGACCTTTTCTATGCTTCTCTGCTATTTCCCTTATTCAGGCCCTTGAAACTATTGCTAACAGTCTCAACTGGATCATCTGGTTCACACTCAAAATAACCCATACTCCATGGATTTACATTACCATCCCACAAGAAGTAAATTCATAGGTGTAAATCTAACAAAATATGTAGATGATCTATCATACTCACCAACAAAATCTAAGTAATTAAAGGGAGAGACATTCCACTTTTATGGAATGTCTCAATTATGCTGAGATGTCAGTTCTTTCCAACTTGACCTACAGATTCAATGCAATCCCAATGAAAGCCTGGTGCTATTTTGTGGATACCAGTAAAGTTATTCTAAAGTTCATATAGACATAAAAGAACCAAGAGACTAATGAAGAATAAAGTTGGATGATTAACTCTACCTGACATCAAGACTTAGTATAAAGATACAGTAATCAAGACAGTGTAGGTTGTGGGGGGTATTGGGAAGACAAAACACATCAATGAAACAAGTAAATCCACATAAATATAGTCAAAAGATCTTCGACAAGGAGCAAAGGCAATGAAGCAAAGACAAGTATTCTCAATAAGTAGTGGTGGAACTGGACATACACAGGCAAAAAATAAATCAAGACACAGGCCATGTAGTCTTGAGAAAATGGATGCATGATGGATCATAGAATTAATGCAAAACGCAAACTATAAAACTCCCAGTAGATACCATAGGAGAAAAACCTAGATGACAAACTTTGAGTTTGATGATGCCTTTTTAGATACCAAAGGTACCATCTATCAAAGAATGAACTGATAACCTGGACTTCATTAAAATTAAGAATTTCTGTTCTGGACCCTCCCTGGTAGTGCTGTGGGTTAAAGTGCAGCACTATGAAGCTATCAGCAGCCACTGCAGCATGAGTTCGATCGCCAGCCAGCTGACCGACATGGTGGGTTCTGTCTGGTCCGCTGTCCCTTCTGCAGTGTACTTCATCAATCTGCCTGTTCTGATCCCCACTCTGTGTCTGGGGAAGGCTCTCATCCCCTCCACCCCCAACTCTGGCCTGTACCCCAGTTCTGTATGCATAAATAAATAAATCTTAAAAAAAAAAAAAACTGCACATGGATGTTTATAATCCAGCACTAAAAAGAGCTATCAAGTCATGAAAAAATATGAGAGAATCTTGAAGCTAAAGAAGCCAATATGAAAAGGCTATATACTGTATGATTCTAGAAAAGGCAAAATTAAAAGAGACAGTAAAAAAAAAAGATCAGGCCCTCCCTGGTGGCGCAGCGAGTTAAAGCACAGCACTGAGAATCTAAAGCCGCTTCCACATGAGTTCGATCCCTGCCTGCCCTGGAGGTGACCACATGGCGTGGCAGACCTCTCCTGACCCGCCCGTTGCTCCCCTCAGCAGTGTACTTCGTCCATCTGCCTGTTCTGCTCCCCACTCTGTCTCTGGTGAAGCCTCTCACCACCCCTGAGCCTCTGGCCTGTACCCCAGTTCTGTGTGCACAAATAAATAAATCTTAAAAAAAAAAAAAAAGATCAGTGGTTGTGAAAGGTTATAGGGTGAGGGAGGGATGAACAGGCAAACTACAGGGGACTTTGGGTCACTGAAAATGTGCTGTGTGCTGCCGTAATAGTAGATCCATGTCATTATACATGTGCCCAAACACCCAGAATACACAAACCGAGAGAGAGCGGCCAGTGTAAACTATGGACTTTGGTTGCTCACGATGTGCCATGTAAGGTTCATCAATTAAAAGTACTATTCTGGTGAGGGGCGTTGACAGTAAGGAGGAGATGCATGAGTGGGGAGCATGGATACCTCTTACATGTGCCTTAGTCTCAATTTCACTATGACCTTAACACTACTCTTTAAAAAAAATACTTTAAAAAGCAGAAAAATATAGAAATGACATTAGGTCAAATTCATAGAATTCAGAAACCAAAATGTGAACAGTAAATGATGAGTTTCTCAAGTAAGAAAGAGTAAAACTTGAGTTATATATAAAAAGGAACCATTCACTATCTGGAACTACAATTAGAAAACTACAATTAGAAAAATTTGAATTAACGCCCCCCCCCTGGTGGCACAGCCAAGCTGCTTAGGTGGTCCGAGTTCAATCCCTGCCCTGGAGGTGACCCACATGGCGTGGCAGACCTCTCCTCACCCACCTGCTGTTCCCCTCAGTAGCGTACTTCATCTATCTGCCTGTTCTGCTCCCCTCTCTGTCTCTGGTTAATCCTCATCGCCCCTGCACCTCTGGCTTGTATACCAGTTCTGTATGCACAAATAAATAAAAATCTTTAAAAAAAAATCTAGAACACAAGGTGACTTTAAAAATAAATAAATAACACCCCCCCCATCCCCCATGGCAATATCACTGATGGTTCTGATTCTGGACTCAGGGAAGAGATCAAATGGTAAGGAGGAAGAGGGATGAGGAAACTGAGTCAACAGATAAGTACCACATATTCAAATGAAAGGAACAAGACAGTGGAGTCAAGGGAAGTGAAGAAACCAATCACTAAAAGCAGAGGAAAGAGGGACAAAAAAAGAAATAACTACAAATGGATCAGTAAAGGCAGAAAAAAAGTACTCTTGCAGTGTTATTATATCTTACTGGAAAGGAAATAATGAACACTGACTATACGTGACTCCTTTTCCTAGGGTCCTCCCTGTCTCCAAAGCCCATGTACTTTACAGAACACCACACAGCTACTTGTCTCAGTTTAAAATTAGAATCTTTGGATAGGGCAGGCATTCGTTTTCCCAGGTAATAGTTCCTGAATGGTTTCTAACTTGTTTTTACTTGAGATATACTACACCACTATTATGACCCAGACCAAAAAGTTCCTGCATGAACAACAAAACCAACTAGATTTTTGCCCCGAGGTTATATGAGAAATTCCTTTTATGCTCTCCTACAAAGTTAGACCCTTTCCAAAATTTGGGAGTCCATAAGTCAGGGGGGAATGCCATAGGGAGAATGAGAGAGAATGTTGAGAGGCAAGCCCACCCCAACTGCCACTTTAGGAAATGCACTAGTCTTACGCCAAGAGAGAATGGCAGGAACTCGCCTGGATGTAGGAGAGCGGTCCAGTTTGAATGCAGAAAATAAAATCAGCATTTCTCAAATATCCTGTGATGTCTGAGGTATCTGAAAACTTCAAAGCAAGGAGGTGCAAACCATGAGCCTGATAAAGAACAGTAACTAATGAGCAGTCAGATATCCAAGACTTAGCAGCGATAAGAACACTTGCCAGTATCAAAGAAACCTTGTACAGCTTTCAGCACCCAGCACTGAGTAGAAACCATGAAGCAGGAAACAGACACAGTGCACCTGTAGAAAAGCAAATAAGCAGCAATAAGGGCAAAGGAAACCTTCAAGATCTCTAGGAAGGCCTCAAATGCTAAAGTCAAAGGTTTAAGTTACAGTTCTTACCTCACTGTGCAACTGTACACTACAGTTCACACCTTCCTCTTTCAGTTTCCAATACCTCACTCTCCTGGCTTCCCTTTCATTTAGCTGGCCACCCCCTCCTCCTTATTCTTCTTCAAAATTAGTGTTCCCTCAACCTGGCTGGAATCTCTGCTCAGTGGATACACTCATTACTAGCTTAACTGTCAACTATGCATACCTATCTCCTCTCTCTGGACCCAAGCTGCCACCCACGGGAGCTTTCCACTTAGGTGACCCTTGGCACCTTGAACCAAATCAGCTCCTCCTCATACTGAAAGGCAGAGCCACCTACACATGACCCCTGCCAGCCATTCACTGTCCTACAAATAACCAGGTACCAGTCCTGTCATTCCTTCCTTGTCAATGTCTCAAAAGCTCTCTCGCTCCATCGCCACGGACACTAGCTTCTTCAGTCAACTGAACTCCAAGAATATCCTGCTCCTGTTGTCTCGCATTGCTGTGATGTTGTTTTGTTCCCTCCTCTCCCCACTACCCCTTACCTCAAGCAGTGCCGCGCACTGAGAAGGTGCTAGACAATAAAATCTAACAGTATGGGCCACTTTCTGTGAGTGAGGCACTATCTAAGAGTTTAGTGCATACTGTATAGGACCCTCCCAACAAATCCAGCAACCTCTTGAGCCCATGCACTAACTATTCAGTGTTCTGCTGCCTCCCAATATGTTATGGACTTGAACAGTCAACCCCAGATGGATAAAGACTGAAGAATACCCATGCAATTTTGTAATGAAGACATCAGTAGTTATTGCTGCTTTATTTACAATTGGAAAAACATGGAAGCAGCCCAAATGCCCAAAAGATATCAATAGTAATGTTAAGTGAAACCACTTTCAACTATACAGATGTGATGATAGTAGAAACTAGATTATAAGGGCTAAGACAGAAAATATCACTTCTAATAGTTACCACTTAAAATGTGCATGCATTAGGAACTATGCCAAGAATTTTCCATATATCATATTTTTTTAATTTTTGCAACACTACTAGTTAGATAGTACTATCCTCATTTTATAGAAGAGGAAAATGAGTGTAAAGACATTAAATAATTTGCTCAAGGTTATACTGCAAAAAAGCTGGCAAAGACCAACCCTAACTTACTTCATCTAAAACCTCAAAAGCATGCCATCACTCACAGTGCCATGCTGATAAGTAGGTTTCAAGTCAAATGCCAACCTGAAAAAAACACTCACATGCCATGGCTATATAAAGTGTATTTTAGTCACCGTCTTCAATAAAAGCACCATTAAGATTGGTGGTGTTGTTGTTGTTGTTTTAAGTTCCAAATGGTTAACTTATTTCCCATCTCTAAAATTCACCAAGACAATTGCCTCAGCACTCTCATCAATTTGAGCATAAAGCAAAGGGGCATCTTCTGCTAACGGTGGCTTGTTTCTTAATCTAATACAGTTCCTACTGAAGGAAGTTTAAATGATCAAGAGACATTACATCAGAAAGCATAAAGTTTTCATTGCTAAATACACATTTTAGACGAAATCTGTACCCAGATAAAAACAAACAAAGGAAAGGAACAACATGTGCTGTTATAATTACATGTTTGCTGCATTTCTACTGATCTGTGATTAATGAACGCACTGCTCTGTTTTTAATCTATGTAACTCCAACAAGCCTTTTTTAAAAATTCACTGTAATCCTAAAACTGAAAATCACTAATCTCAGTCTTTAGTTTTTTTAAATTGCTGACCATCTTTAAAACCAAACTATTGTATCCCCTTCTCAAAATATAATAATTTGGGGTTAATTAACAGATATTTTAGAAAATCAAAGAGTGAGGCCAAAATTAAATAAACACTAACATTTCAATATGTCATAATACCATCAAAACTCAGTATAAAGTCAGAGATGTTTTGAAATCAGCACTTCTAACCAAACCACACAGCACAACAACACAGCATCATGTTTGAAGGGCTTCAAAGGTGCTTCGACAATACTGGGTAAGAGAAATAAACATCGTTCTGTGAACTGAATGAGATGTCACTAAAGACACTCAGAAGATGACTAAAGGTCTTGCCAAGTACATATGGCTGCAGCCAGGGTGGCAGAGATGGTATCAAAGCTGTGCTCCTGCAAATTAAACACAGACACTGAAACTACTTGCAGAAGCCAAATTTAATTTACTGATGAATACCAGACAGTATCTTTGTCACTGTCCTTTAAAAAAGTTACGCACTAGTTATGTCACTGGCTGTTTAAAAGAACAAGACATACTCATTAAATGAAAACAATACTTCAGAACTCAGACATCAATCAGAAAACAGTCTGGGTAGCATATTGCTTTTCTGTCTTAGAAAAATATTTGACTACTAGCATCTGCCTCTGACCCCAGCTACCTAGTCTAGGTGCTATTCCACTAACTGGTCCTAGTTTTTTCATTCCCCAGCTAATTTTGAATGACCCAAATCTTAATCCTTCCAGGTCTCAAAGGTCACTTCCTCTATAAAACCTATTCTGATCTTAACCAAAACCAAACAAATTCCTAATCATTGTTATCTCCATATGATAATCTTGTTTTCCCACATTTTATAGCTTCTTGCTTTTCTAATAAGTTCCTTGCGGGCAGAAACTCTATCTCCCCTTGCCGGCTCTTCCCTGCAGGAGCTGCAGCTCCAGCTAGAGAAGGTGCACTCAATCAACATTTTGTGATCTCATTATCTAGAAGGCAGCTGCTAGCCTTAAATCCTGTCCACCTCAATTTAGTCCACAGAAATTCCTCCCACAACTTTACCAGGAAGTCAACACACTGCCTCCTTACTACTAGAAAGTAAATAGCTTGCAGACATTCAACACATCTTAGGGGCACAAGTCTATTTCCTTTCAGAATCCTGAAGAAGTAGCAAGGCGTTCCAGCCCTTCAAGCGCTGCTGCAGCATTCGTCTACAGGTGGAACAGGCACGCTACAGTTAGTTCTAGCTTACCAAAAAGAACGCTATGGAACAAACCAATTTACCATTCAGTCTTCCTCAACATTAGCGATTTTCTTCTCACTACCTCCCAGAGATGCTCACCTTTGAGACAAGAAAGCAGTCACAATCTTTCCTGTCAAAGCAGGATACAAAGTTGTTCCTCACCCATCACGCTGTGAGTGCCACAATAAACCAGTTTCGAACTATCAATAGATAACAGGATTCTTTCAACAAAGGCCCCCTCACCTACTATCCATTGGTTACGGTGTTGATGTAATTCAAAACTGTACAAGAAACCTAACTTGACCCTGGTGGTGCTGACTCAAAGGAACCTGAACTACATACCTCTGGATTCCCGTAAACTGCTCCTTCAATTTATTAAATTATGTGTGAAGATAATAATCCACCCCATCTCAGTTTATTTACCAAGCATGGCACATAAAATGCCACCATTTGGTTTGAACTTTTGTACACACGTCTCTCCCTCCCACCTTCTTTCTGAGATGTAATTTGTAAACTGAGAAGTAACCCAAACGCAGCCGAAAGTCAAAAGTGGCAAACTACCAAGTGTTTCCAGTGCTAAATCCAAACTACCCAGGCCTCAGCTCCATATGTGGAAGCCCCGCCACCACAAAGGCGAGCAGGAAACCTTTGCTCCCGGGATGCAGACGGGCAAACCCCGGTGGCGGGAGATCAGGCTGGAGGCTACGAGCGCAGGCTACGGCCTAAAGCGGGGCGACCCCCACCAGAGCCCAGGCAGAGACTGCAGCCCTGAAAGGCCAAGAACAAAGCCGGCCAGAGGGCGATCTTGTTCAGCGCGGCCCCCTCGGAGCCCCGATCCCCGACCCATGCGCCCCGGCTCACCCGCCCCGGCGGGCTGCGGCGCGCCCCGGGCCCGGCCGGGCCAGTGCTAGGCGGACGCCCGCGGCAGCTCAGAGTTCACTCCCCGCGGCGCGCGGCGGGCCCGGGGCCGTTCGGCACCATCCTCCCCGCCGCGCCGGGGCGACGTCCGGCTCCGCCGGGTCCACGCAAGGCTCAGACCCCAGCCCGGCCCGCGCCGCCGCTACACGGACTCTTCTCCGGCTCCGGCAGCAGCGGTTTCCGGGTTAAAAAAAAAAAAGCCTCAGCCAACACTGCTGTGACCTCCGACACCTGGCGTCCGACGGCGGCGCTGCCGGGACAAGAAGCTTCAGTGCAGGCAATGAAGACCACGCCCCCTGGCGGGGTCACGTGGAGAGTCACGTGTGAGTACGTACGTTGTACGCGTCTTTCACGGGATGCGTGACGTACGTTTGTGTATCTGTGTATAGCGCTGTGAGGGTGTGGCGTATCGCGCTCTCGTGCGGAGTGCGTGGGGGTGGGTCAGTGTGCACAGTGCGGATGTGGATGTGTCTGGTGTGTCGTGAGTGAGGATGCGTAGGGAGTGTGTGCATGCATAGAGGTGTATGGTGTGCGTGTTTCTGTGCTCGCTTATTAATTACTGCTGAAGAACGTATAATCTGGTAAACTTCATGAAATAATTTGGCATTATCCAGTAAACTTGAAGATAACACGCGCTCTCAAGAATATATTACCTTGAGAAACACGTGCACATCTGCACAAATATGAGCATTTTGAGAAATTTCATTAATTTCACTCCTGGAGGAGGCAGGGACAACCTCCTTGGATATTGGCCGCAACTGGAGTGCTGGAGGTGGGGTGGTAGAGGGGTTGCACTGAGGGGGGGCGGGCAGGGACCCAGGTGACTAGACCAATCCCACAGTGCTTATCTCTCCTAGGCCCTGGACACAGTGCTCCCCAAAATTATGTCTCTAAATCCCACCACTATTTATTACTGTGGAAAATCACAGTAAATAGGAAAAATTCCATCTCTGTTATAATGGTAAATCAATATATTTTACCATAAAGGTGAAGAAACTAAAAAACAAGGAAGACAAAACCAAATAGAGATAGCAAGACAATGGCATTAAATTCTGTTTAGAAGGCTGGTATCTCCTAAAGACCCCTAGTTCTGACTTCTGGGTTTAAAAGAAAAGACCTGGTAAGTCAGATTAGCAATAGGAAACATCAATTTGCATAAATTTACTATTATTCTTGTTTTTACCAGGCCCCTGTTTCCTATATGCATACCGATTCTTATTGTAGATACAGCTGAGCTGGCAGGTCTCACGTGTTACAGTGGCCATCTCCCCTGGGCAATTGGGTAACTGTCACAGACAGCCAAGACCTGTGGCATGGCTTTGTTATGGGCCCAAAATGTGAAGAGATTGCTGTACACTACCAAGCTCAGCTGCTCGCTGGGGCTGCAGAGGGGAAAGGGTTTTCTCAAGCAGCTTGTCCTCTTGGAGGTCTCAAACTTTATCTGAAACTTTCATGCAAATTCTATACTCAGTTCACCACTATATTAGCATGTTTTAGAAAAATGAACAAAGAACCCACAATTTCCTAAATATACAAGGAAATCTGGTGCTGAGGATACTGTGATAGTTTTCCATTAAGAAGAAAAATCATGATTTTCTCATCCTTTATCCTGACTGCCCTCTAAGAAGACAAATATTTGTTCAACAAATATTATTAAGTGCTCATACTTGCCAGACAAGATTCAAGGTCTTAGGGGAGTCAGTAGAGAACAAACAGACAGGGTCCCTATTCCCAGATAACTTACATTATGAGAACAATAATAGGAGTCAAACACGGTGCAAAGGCATTTCCGTGAAGTATTGCACTTACACTTCATAACAACCTTAGAAAGTATTTCTTTTTCCCTGTTTTTCTCTTAAGGAAAAGTGACACTCAAAATAATAATTTTTCCAGTTTCACATAACTAGTGTTAGGGCGTCAGGTTTAAGCTAGTTATCTTTCATTCTGAAGACCATACAACATGTTTTCTGGTATATGTGCTGTCACTTTAATAGGATTAGAGACATTTTCAGAGGAAGATTTTCCAATCTGAAATTGAAGACTGTCTCCTTCACATGCTATAATACTCCTGCCTCAGATCCTAAGTTTTCCGGCTAGCAGATGCCACTCTGATGTGTGTCCAGGTGGCACATGAAACAAAGAACGAGGTCAGCATTTCTTATATTTTGAAATATTTTTTGCATATAGTTGTTCATAGTTTTCTCTGATTATTCTTTTGATTCCTGCTGTATCTGTTGTGATTTCTTCTCTTTCATTTCTGATCCTATTTATTTGTGCTTTCTCTTGGTTTTTTCTTTGTGAGCCTAGCTAGTGGCCTATCTTGTTTATTTTGTTTAAGAACCAACTTTTGGTTTCATTGTCGAAATATTTTTTAAATGTGGACATAGTGATACTTTGAACTAGAGTTCACAAGACTTAGATCCCAATCCTGCAAAGGAACAGCTGAAAGAACTTATCTGTGTCCAAATTTCTCATTCATTCATTCTGAATAATGGTGAAAAGCCTGCAATCTTCTAAATAAATAACATAATGGTTAAGCCAAAACACACAGTCCCTACATTCATGGTACTTAGATATGGTGGAGGGGAAAAAAACTAATAAGATTAAATAAAAATATAGCCACAAAGTGGGCTCTCCCGGGTGGCACAACAGGTTAAAGCACAGCTACTTCAGCACAAGTTCTATCCCCAGCCAGAGGGATGACCCACAAGGAGCAGCAGACCTCTCCTGTCTCGCCTGCTGCTCCCCTCATCAGTGTACTTCATCAGTTTGCCTGTTCTGCTCCCTACTCTGTCTCTAGAGAATCCTCTCACACACAACCCCCCGACACATCTCTGGCCTGTATTCCAGTTCTGTATGCATAAATAAATAAATTATGTGTGTGTGTGTGTGTATACACATATATATATAGCCACAAAGTGAAGTAAGGGCTCTGAAGTGGAGGATGAGATTCTATGGAGATATATTTTGGTATCTATGTATAATACACTTAGTACATTGTAAATTTACAGTTAAATACCAAAGTTGTATTTCCAAGGTGTATTTAAGTGTAATAAAATGTGCAAATAGCTTCTTCAATGGATCAAGGAAGCCTCAGCTAATAGAGTCTTACTTGCCCTGAGACCTGAAGGATGAATGGGTGTTCACCAGGGGCTGCAAGTGTTTGGGGTGGGGCAGCTGTGTGGGTAGGAGCAGGTTGCCCAGGAAGAACCTTAGAAGCTTCATGCATAAACTATAGGGGGCCAGGGATACCAAGAGTCGCTGTAGAGGAGCATCAGTCCAGACCTTCCAAGTAGTTCAGAACTGAGTTAATAATTGTTGTCAATGACCCATTCCCCTTCCTCTGTCCAAATAAAACCACAAACTTAGAATGAATAATCTGAGGCTTAGAGAAGCTCAATAACTTGCAAAGATCAGAGTGGTGTTGAGTTGGATTTTTAAGTTCAGGTGTTCAAGTACCCAAAAACTTAACTACTGTAAGCCTACAATGGGTGGTTTAAAGCCTATTCATAGTGTTCTGCAACCTTCAACATTAGAAGCTCTTGCTCCTAAGCACTGCTTACTTTGGCCTATTTTCATCCTCAGGAAAATTATTTTAAGACAATTTTTTAATTGAGTCTTAAAATACACTTTTTAAATGGCACAATCTTTTAAAACACTTCAATGAAATTTTTACTTGTGCATTCCTCTATAGACTTACCTACCAGATCAAGGTGCTCAGGGCAACCTCCAGCTGCCTCACTGGCTCCCCACCACCACCACTGTGTATACCTCCTTCCCCCAAATAACCAGTAATCATCCTTAAAAGTAAGCTATAAAATATGCTTTTGAATACTATTGATAAGTTCCTGAAGACAGGAACATAAAATCATAATAAATTCTGCTTTTGGTATGAATGAAATAATTAAGATTGAAATAAGTTTTAACATTCCTATTGCCGGGTTTTCAATATTTTTTAAATATCTCAATGTTAATCAGAAAAAATTAATCACTAAAATTGAATAAAAGCATGTACAAATTGATGTGCATTCTTCCATTTACCTTGGGCTTGGGTTCCGCAGCGCTTTCCTAGAAGACTCTGGTGTTTAGTATGTAGTGTATTCTCCAAATTGAGAGGCTCCTGTTTCTCCCAAAAAAAACAATCCTGAATAGTAAAAAAAGAAAAATCTTAATACATAGCATTTTTAAAGAGTCCTTGGGCCCCTTAATTAATAAACTCTCTGTAAAATACTATGAGAGAAAGGAAAAATCTACCACAGGGCCTAGGCAGTGTCTCCCAGGAGTGGAGGAACCTGCTGAAGCACAGCTTTGGTTTACTTTGTGGACGGACACAGGGTAGGTAAGAAAGGCCAGTGCAAGCGCCCTCTGCCGGCAGCACGGCCCCAGGAGGAACCCGCCCGCTCCCTGTTAAGGGGAACTGCGAGCCCCCTTCTGGTCATGCTGGCAGTCACGAAAATAATTTTCTCTTTTAATTGTTAAATTCCTTTTTTTTTTTTCCAGCCGTGTCGGAACAAGGCTTCAAAATATTGTGTTAAGTCTCAGCTAAAAATTCTCTCCACAATAAATCCTTTAAGTGGGATACAATTCCTTTATATATATATTTTTAATTGCAGTAACATGGTTTACAACGCTGTTCGTGATTTAGTGGTGCAGGTTCACTCCTCTTCCCAGGTGTGTTACCGCACCACTCCCAGCACGTGGCCCAGCACAAAAGCCAACCCTGTTCTCTGGGCTGGCACGTCTTGAGAACCTCGCGTGGGAAATTTCTTTTGGGTGTCAAATGAAGTCATTAATCTCATAGACCACAAGTTTTTATATGCTAAGCAACAGAAGTGTGTTTACTCACCAAAATATATGGGTCAAATAAAAAGGTGACACCCTTTGGACACCCACACGTGTTGGTAAGAATGTAAATTGGTGTGGTCTAGATGGAATACAATATGGAGATCCCTCCAAAACTTTGCTCCAGTTATTCCAGTTCTAGGTATTTCTCCAAAGAACATGAAAACACTAATTTGAAAAGATAGCTGCACCCCTACACCCACTACATCACTATTTACAAGATGTGGAAACAAGCTAAGTGCCCATCAATGTATGAGTGGATAAAGATGTTGCCTGTATACATAATGGAATACTACTCAGATACTTACAAAGTGAAAAACTGGCCCTCCCTGGTGGTGCAAGGGGTTAAGTCTCA